GGCCGCCGGCGCGAGCCGACGAAAATGAAACACCCACGCAATAATGAGGCAGGGAAGGCACAGAGGGCCCCTTAAATAGGCTCAAAGGGAGAGGGCAGAGGGAAGAGGGAGAGGGCTGAATGCTAAGGCCTTCTCTCTCTCGCTCTCTCTCAGCCGACGAAAATGAAACACCCACGCAATAATGAGGCAGGGAAGGCACAGAGGGCCCCTTAAATAGGCTCAGAGGGAGAGGGCAGAGGGAAGAGGGAGAGGGCTGAATGCTAAGGCCTTCTCTCTCTCTCTCTCTCTCTCTCTCTCTCTCTCTCTCTCTCTCTCTCTCTCTCTCTCTCTCTCTCTCTCAAATGGTCCGTTGTATTAATTCAGCAGGGGTACAGATATGCAGTTCTATCCATGATAACCTCGATCCCATAAGCCCATCAACTCACCCCTCATCCCCCCCCCTCCCCTGAGTGACCCTCTAGCCCTCCAGCGTGTGGAGGAGGATGTCCCCCAGGTGCAGCGGCCAGGGGTCCGCTGCCATCTGGGGGTGCGCTGCCTCAATCCCAGCCCTGGCCTTGGTGTGCAGGGCGTTTGCCTGGGAGCGCTGGAGGGCCACTGACTAGCGCTGGCTGAAGTGGCAGGCCATCTTCTTGGCGGATTTCGCCAAGGGGCTGGCCCTGAAGCGGTTCCTAATTGCTGCTGTGGCCAGCAGTTTCCTCTCTCTCTCTCTCTCTCTCTCTCTCTCTCTCTCTCTCTCTCTCTCTTTCTCTCTCTCTCTCTCTCTCTCTCTCTCTCTCTCTCTCTCTCTCTCTCTCTCTCTCTCTCTCTCTCTCTCTCTCTCTCTCTCAAATGGTCCGTTGTATTAATTCAGCAGGGGTACAGACATGCAGTTCTATCCATGATAACCTCTATCCCATAAGCCCATCAACTCACCCCTCTTCCCCTCCCCTCCCCCCTGAGTGACCCTCTAGCCCTCCAGCGTGTGTAGGATGTCCCCCAGGTGCAGCGGCCAGGGGTCTGCTGCCATCTGGGGGTGTGCTGCCTCAATCCCAGCCCTGGCCTTGGTGTGCAGGGCGTTCGCCTGGGAGCGCTGGAGGGCCACTGACCAGCGCTGGCTGAAGTGGCAGGCCATCTTCTTGGTGGATTTCGCCAAGGGGCTGGCCCTGAAGCGGTTCCTAACTGCTGCTGTGGCCAGCAGTTTCAGGAACGCCGTCGTGGGGGGCGCGTTTGCCCCATAGGTCTCGACGGCCAGGGCGCAGGCAGAACACCACGTGTTCAGTGTGTCGGTAGTAGTCCCTCTCCTTCCGCTTCTGTGCCTCCCTTGCAGCCCAACCTGGGGGTTTGCGGGCCGTAGGGTCTCGGTTCTGCAGCACCGGGTCAGTGATCGTGGTGTCTGTGATCCTGGTCTCTCCGCTGTCCGGGTCTTGTACAATCACATCTGCCTTCTTCGGGTCATCCGGAGGTGAGTACATCGCATTCTCCAGGTATACCACCAGCTGCGCCTCCCTCGCCATTTTAGCCATGGCGAAGGCCAGCTGGTTGTGTGTGCGCGTCCTGTCGGGGCCTGTGCTGCAGCGGAGTAAGTGATTGGGTAGGCTGCAGTCGGCTACGAGTTCTCCGCACTCGCACACGGTTGGTACATTCTGTCGGATGCCCATGCGGAAGGCCAGGGCCGCTCGGAACTGTCCTGGTGAGAAGCAGAGGTCCGGGGTCAAGGGTAGTGCCTGCAGCCACGCTCCCGCTCCCTCTCCTCTCAGGCTGACTAGGCGGAGTGTGTGGCCCATCTCGGGGGCTGACTGTATTGCGCGTGACTCCTCTCTTAGGGCGTCGGCCTTTGCCGCGTGCACTTCCTGGGAGAGGGCGCGCTGCAGTTGGTCCTGGGACGGGGTTTGCTGCTCCTCCCGTAGGTTTTGTAGCGCCAGCGGTGGCAGTCGCCCCTCCATGTCCTGGATGGTCACGGAGTGCGCTGCAGACGGCTGCAGGGCGTTGCTGTCGGCCCCTAGCGGCGCGGTTGCCGGTAAGTCCAGGGAGCGGAGCAGGCGCAGCGCCTCTGTTGTAGATGCCAGGTAGGCCGGTGCTGCTTCAGTTGTGGGGTCCGTAAGGCCCAGTCCGCCTAGGGCTACTGGGAGAGTTGCCTGTCGGAGAAGGAAGTTGAACTCGGCTTGTCGGCGTGGCGGTTGAATGCTGGCGGCGGTCAAGGCAGTGTTCAGTAATTCGGCGCACCATGTGTGCCATTCCGAGAGCGGTAAGACGTCAGCTGGGGTAGTGCGCAGCAGGTAGCCGACTCTGCGGCTGATGCAACGAGACAGTAGCAGGAGGGCGTGTTGTGGGTGGATGGACGCCAGAGAGCCCAAGGGGGCTGCCGCGTCTGTCAGGGTGCTGCGGACAAAATCAGAGCAGAAGCTCTGCGACCCCACTGGACTTCCCAACACCCGCACCCCCTCGCGGGTGAGGGGAAGGCCCGCGGGGAGTACGTCCCCTCCTAGCGGCACGGTGGACCACGCCGACGACTTCCTAAAGTTGCAGGTGAGACCGTCCCGTGCCAGCAGCGGCGTGAGCTCCCTGAGCGCTTCCAGCGTCGCCGCCGCGGGTCCAATCATGGTTATGTCGTCCGCGTAAGCGAGGACCGTGACTTCGGGGTGCTCCGTTGCTACGTGCCTGAGGTGCTGCTGGATAGACGCTGCGAATAACAGGGGTCCGAGGGGATCCCCCTGTCTGACTCCCCTTCCGCTGGTGAGTGCCGTGGAATTGAAGCATGGGTCCAGCAGCAGCGGTGAAGATGCTGCGTAGAAAGAGCGTGTGAAGGGGATTAGGGGAGCTAGTGGGGAGCCGATGAGTGCGTTGAAGAACGCGCTCCTCTCTACTGAGTTGAACGCGTTCTCAATGTCGAGCTGGAGTACTAGGCTGGAGGGCTGCACCGTGGTGAGGTCTCGGACAGCATGGATGACAAATTCTGCACCTCCAGGGACTGCCACGCCAAATTGCTGAGGTAGGAAAAAAATTCGCGTTCTTCCTTGCAGATCTGAGAGCGCCACCTTCGCCGCCAGCCTAAGCAATGACTCTCCAATCGCAATGGGACGTACCCCCCCCCCCTGGTTTGGCGAAGGCTATAAGGCGGGACGGGGCAAGTAGTGCTGCGACTTCAGTGGAAAGATTTGTCGAGAGAAGATGCGTAACGGCGGAGTGGAGGTGCCCTAGTACCTCGATGTTACTTAGCGCTGGATCGCGGTAGTGTTCGAAAGTTGACCCCGATGGGCTAGCCCCAATTCCCCTGGGGCATTCTCCAAGGACGTCGGAAAAGCGTTCCAGAGTGGTTGAGAATTGCGTGGGTGTGGTGTAGGAATGCACCCACTCGGGCAGGTCATTTTGGGGTTGGGGGTGTTTCGATTCCAGCTGCTGTAGTGTCGCAATTGTCGCAGGTGCTGAAGGCGAGGGTTGTAGGGCTGCTAACGCCTTTCGCAGGTTACCCCGTTTCACCAACCCCTCCGCACGTGAGCAGATTCCCAGTGGGTCACGTTGGTGCTGAGGTGGTTCGGCCAGGTGCATTGACCCCAAGTAGTCAGTGTACAGCTGGGTCCAGTGGCCACATCGGAATAGATGCATCTGTTCCCGCAGCAGTTTCCATCTAGAGCTGGATCTCCGGCTAAGTCTTAGCGTGAGACGTGGCAGGAACATGAGGACCCGCCATGCTCCTGCGCAGTTAGGCAGCTTGGAGATCCGAAGTAGGGCAGCCAGCATACAGGTGGAGTAGTCGCTGAGGATCTGCGGCGGCAGTCGGCGGACGATTGGTAGGTGGGTGGTGGAGGTTAGGAGTGTAAGGTCCCAAGTCATCGCGATCTGGAAAAGATCCTCCCGCGAGGCCAGCTGGGACGCCGATAGTGCCTGGTCCGGGGGAAGCTGAGCCCTGCGATGCTGTCTGCGGCCGGTTCCTCTCTCCTGTTGCTGCGCTTGCCCCTCTCCTTGTTCCGCGTGAGGTGAGGCGGGATCGTCTGGTTGCCTCAGATCTGACGGTATATAATCGTCTCCACTCCCCTCTGTGTTGATATCCCTGTTTCTCCCCGCTTGCGCTGGTGTTCCTCCCCTCGCCCCCCGCCTGGCGAATGACTGGCGCGTGACTCGTTCCGCCGGCTCCCCCAACCAGATTGGGCTCGGCAACTGGCAGGGCGGTCCCCTTCCCGCTTGGCCTGCGCTCCTCTGCCCTCCGCGCGCTCCTCGTCGCCCGCCTCTCCCCCGCGTGCTTCCCCGTCCGCTCCGCGGGGTAGCTGCCACAGGTTCCGCCTGTTGCGCCTGGGAGATCGGCGTTGTCGGCTCCTCGTGTGCCAGTGGAGCGTCTTGAGCGTTGGCCAATGGATTTCCTTGGCGCTCTTGGCCGCGACTGCACCGCGGAGAGCGATCCTGCTCCCCGTCCGCTTCCTCCTGCACGCCCTGCCGCGAGCGTGCCTGTTGCTCCGCCGGCGTCCGCTGATCAGATCCGCCGCCGCTTCGAGGACCAGCGGCGCGAGTTGGCTCCGCGCGCGGGCAGGTCCTTGTCACCGCGGGAGCCCCCGCGCGCGGGGTCCGTCTTGCGCTCCGGCGCAGAGGCTGTGGCGCACCAGGAGCGTTCGCCTCGCCGTCGCTCATCGGCACCTCGCGACGATAAGCGGGAGAGCCGCCGCGATGATCGTCACGGTGCGGCCCGTTCGCCGCTGTCGCCTCGTTCGCCTCGTCGCGTGGCGTCGCGAAGCCGATCCCGTGACCGCCGTTCGCATCGTCATCGTTCGCCCCCTCAGCGTTCATCTCGCCAGCGGTCGCCTGCCCGCCAGACGTCTGAGCGTCGGCCCCCAGCTCCGTGTTCGCCCCCTCCTGCAAAGCGCCAACGGCTCTACTCCCCTCGTCGCGGGGACTGTTTTCCTGGCCGCCAGCGTCAGCAGGGCCCATCTCGCCCGCAGTCGCCTGTGCGCTCGAGCGCAAGTGGGCGTGCGCGTCGTGGGCGACGGGGGGGTGACAGTCGCGGCGGAAAAGCGCGTCCAGCGCCGTCCGCAATGGAGCGCCGTCTTCTGGATAGGCTTGATGACGTGGAGAAGGAGCTTCGTCGCTCGCGTGCGGGGTCGGCGTCACCATCAGCTCCTCGCGCTGCTCCCGTCGTCCCTCTCTCCGCGCTCCTGCCCCACAATCCCTTTGGATCCCCGGCGCGTTCAGAGCGGCCGCTGCCTGCGGGGATGGGCTTCGTAGGTGCTGGTGGCGGGCCGCCGTGGGCTCAGTTTGCTCCGCCGCGTCCTCTTCCTGCTCCGCGTGATCTCGCCGTGTCGTCTCACCGTGCCCGCGCGTCTGCGTTACTTCCGCCGATGAAGGAAGTTCCCACGGCGACCCTGGCCCGCTTATGGTCGCTGGCGGCGTCCCTGCAGAGCCTTGAGTGGATTCTCCAGGAGTCATTTGACTCCATGCCGGTGAGCCCTCCGAGCAGGTTCTCTCAGAAACCGCGAGCAGATTGTCATGCGGCGGCGTCAGCGCTATTCGCGCTCGTAACGCCACTGCAGGTAGCGCCCTCGCCGGGAGCAACCTCGGCCAGCCAGCTGGCTGACTCGGCCCTGGCTCTGAGGACGCTTGTAGCAGGCCCTGGTACTCCTGTTGACGTTGTAGGCGCCACCGTGTCTGTGGTCCGCCAGTTGTGGTTGAACACGAGCGGAATGCTCGCTGCGGTAGAGGCGGACCGCATGTAGGCGCTCCCCCCTTGCGCGTATAGACCCGTTCCATCCTCTACTTGCTAAGTGTCTATGCTTGCTTTGTATGTATCGGTTGCCTAAGCTACTACTGCTTGTTTTTTCCCCTTGCCATCCCTAACGCGCGGCCGAAGGCCGCTGGCGCGAAGCGCCAAAATTTTCAGCACTAACTGAAAGAATGAGAGATGGAGAGGCCGCCGTGGCCTTAAGTAGTCATGGCAGAGGGCAGAAAGCAGAGGGCAGAGGGTAGAAGGGGAGAGGCTAATCCTCTCTCTCTCTCGCTCTCTCGAACAACACCAAATTTTTCAGCACTAACTGAAAGAATGAGAGATGGAGAGGCCGCCGTGGCCTTAAGTAGTCATGGCAGAGGGCAGAAAGCAGAGGGCAGAGGGTAGAAGGGGAGAGGCTAATCCTCTCTCTCTCTCTCGAATGGTCCTTGCATTACTATGAGGGGTGGTACAAAGGAAGATGCAGAACACACAAGCACATCAAACATCCAAACCGAGATCCGAACTACCTCAAGTCTCCTACCTACTCAGCCCCCCCCCCCTCTGTCCGACCCTACTGGTCGAACGGGGCCTCAATCAACTACTGTAGCTGTCCCTCACTGAGAGGGATGATGGGTCCTCTAAAGCCGAGCTCGTCCGCCGCCAAGGCCTCGTTGGTCTTGGTGCGGAGGGCGTTGGCCTGCGCCCGCTGGAGGCACACGCTCCAGCGCTGGCGGTACTCCGTCAGCAGCTTCGCTGCTTCGTAGGAGGTAGGAGCCGCGTTAAACCGCAGCTTTGCCGCCAGCTCTGCGCACTGCCGCAGGTAAGCCATCACCCCCGGCGAGGGGTAGCCATAAGTTTCCACTGCAAGCGCGTGGAACCCCACCCACGCGTTCCGCCGTGCGTACTTATCCTCCTTTTTCTCTGCTGCCGCCCTGGCCGCCCATCCAGGAGCTCGGTTGCAGTTCTCGTCCTGCCTTGACACCGGGTCCGTCACGGTCACGTCGCACATCCAAACCTCACCAGTCAGGGGATGACGGATGGTGACATCCGCCTTTAGGTTTTCAACCAGTGAGTAGACATACGTCTCCTTGTGAACCGTAAACCCCGCCTCCGCCCCAATGTTCGCTATCTCATCCCGCAGAGCGTGGTGGGTTGCGGTCCTCCCTTTCCCCTTCTCGCAGCGCATGAGGTGGTTGGGGAGGCGGTCGTCGGGGAAGGTGGTGCGGTAGCGGCAGTCACAGCGTCTAGGCACTGGGAGGGGGAGGCCTAGGCGGAAGGCAGCTGCAGTTGAGAGCTGGGACGGGCCCATCCGGAGCGAGGGGGTGAGCGGGATCGCCAGCAGCCAATCCCCCGCGCCTGGGCCCAGCACCGACTGCATCCGTTGCGCATGGCCAGAGCGGGGGTTGGGGCGCATCCGCCTCGCCTCGCGCATGACTCTCAGGAAGCGGCGGGAGTGAACCGCCAGTGCTAGGTTCTGCTGCAGCTTCAGTCCCTTGGGGTCAGCCTTCCCGGCCTGGAGCACCTCGAGAGCCTCGGGGGGCAGGGCTGCCTCAGCCGCGGCGAGGCGTGCAGGTAGCGCGTGTGGGGAGCCGTGGGTTGGATCCAAAAGGGGGAGGAGCGCGGCGACAGCGGGGTGCAACGAGTCCTCCAGGGAGTGCAAGAGGTGGGCTGTGCTGATCACTGAGGCGAGGTAGGCATAGCTGCCTTCAACGGCGGGGTCAGTGATGCCCAGGCCTCCCAAAGTCACTGGCAGGGCCGCCTGCCGCCAAATCCTCCGTCTCTCCCTGACGCTCCTCGGCCTCATGATGTGGGCCGAGTCTAGGAAGGTGTGAAGGAGTTGTTCCCCCCAAGCGGACCATTCGGCTTCAGGGAGGGCCTCTAGGGGGGTGGTTCTGGCCAGGAAGGAAGCTCGGCGGCTGACACAGCGGGTGAGGAGGAGGAGGGCAAGTTGGGGGTCCATCTGGGCCAGCAGGGGGAGAGGCGCTGCTGCTGCTTCCAATCTCGCTCTCACAGCATCTGCGCAGCCTCGGGCAGTGCCCACGGGGCTGCCGAGAATCTGCAAACCCTCCTCAGAGATAGTGACGCCTGGGGGGACTGAGGAGGCGTCGATTGCTGCGGCGGACCACGCCGCGCACTTAGCCGGATTGTGCACCAGGCCGAGGGCGGCTAAAGCAGAGGTGAGGTGGTCGAAAGCCGCAGAGCAGGCCGTGGCGTCGCCGAGCAGCGTGATATCATCGGCGTACGCCAGCAGGACCACCTGAGGGTGTGCAGCCGCCGTGTCCACGAGGCACGGGTGGATGCTAGCCGCGAACAGGAGTGGGCCGAGCGGGTCTCCTTGGCGAACACCCCTGGCGCTCTGCAGCGGGGCTGCGCCGAAGTCGTGGTCGAGGAAGAGCGAGGAGGGAGTCCCATAGGAAAGGCGGACGAGGGGAATCAGTTCCTTCAGCGCCTCGTTTTTCAGTCCTTCAAACACCGCCCTTCTTTCGACCGCGTTGAACGCATTCGCGAGGTCAATCTGCAGCGCCACTGCCCCTGGGTGCACTTCCAGGTACGTGCGAGCGGAGTGGATAGCCGCTTCGATCCCTCCCGCTACTGCGACTCCGAACTAAAGCGGAGCAAAGTGAGTACGAGCGGCCGGCGCAGTGAGGAAGAGCGCGGCTTTTGCTATTATCCGGAGGAGGCACTCCCCCACCGCAATCGGCCGCGTCCCTCCCTGTGGTTTCGTAAATGCTAACAGGCGGGATGCCGTTAGAAGATCCCCCGCGACTGTGGGGAGTTTTCCTGCTAGAGCTGTGTTAGTGAGGGCGAGGAGGTGGGTGAGTACTTCGGCGTTGCCCAGGGCTGCGTCGCGGATGTGCTCGAAGGTTGTTCCAGATGGGCCGGCCCCTACTCCGTTGGGGAGTTTGGCGAGGAGGCGTCTGAAGTCGCGAGCTTCGATAGTGGGTGGGTCTTCCGCTGTGGCGGTGCGGAGCCAGTCAGGAAGTGGTTGGCAGGCGGATGGGTGTCTCGTCGTGAGGGCTTCCAACACTTCAGGTGAGGCGGGAGACACAGGAGTGGCCTGGAGGGATTGGAGTGATTTTGACAGGTTACCCCGTTTTGCGAGTCCTTCTGCCCGTGCCAGTATCCCCGTTGTGTCAGGTGAGTGGCGAGGTTGCGGTGGCAGTGAGATCGCCTGGACAGCTTCTTCGTACAGGTCCCCCCAAAGGCCTTGGCGAAATCGCTGGAGCCGATTCATCATCGCGCTCCAGTCAGGTTTGCGGGCTGACGAGGTGCGGAGGAGTAAGCGCGGGAGAAAAGTCAGTAAGTTCCATCCTGGTGGAGACTCAGGATTGGCCGCCAGGTGGAGTAACGGAGTCAACATGCAGATCGCGAAGGAGTCGCGAAGGTCTTTGGGGGGGTGGCGAGCGAGGGGAGGTTGGCGACTGTCGCGCAGCGGGTCAAGGTTCCAGTCTGCAACCTGAGCGAAAAGGTCAGTATTTTTCGCCAGGTCGTCAGGTTTGAGCGTTGGTGGGGTTGGGGAGGGGCCTGCAGAATTATCATTGGCTGCAGCAGAGTCAATTACGTCTTCTGTCGCGGCTCGATTTCCCCCCCTTGCACGATTTCCCCCCGCGGTTCGATTTCGACCTGTGGTTCGAATTGCAGGTTCGTCCCGGGCCTGATGGTTTGGAAACTCCGCTTCCCGAAGTAGCATCTCCAATTCTTCCTCGTCCTCGGCTTCTGCTTCCAACATCCCCTCTCTTTCTGGGTTAAAAACAGGGTCACCCCCTTCGCTTTCTTCATTCTCAGCTTCGTCCTCTGCCTCCTCGCTGTGCTCCTCCTCGCCGCCTTCCACGCCTTCGCGTATTAGCCTTTCAGCAGTTCTCGCGTAACCGCTTGCGCCGGTGCGGCGCCGATTTGTGCCGCGCGCTCCTCCACCTCTTCGTCCCCTCCCATTCCCTCGTCGTCCGCGGCGGCTGCTGCCGCGTCCCACGCGGATACCCCGCGTTCCTCTCCCTTCCGCGGCTCCCACGCGCCCTGCCTGCGGCGCCACGTCCACCTCGTCCTCGTTCTGTCGGCGCGCTGGCGTCGGCTGCGGTGCGGCCGGGGGTGATGGATCCATCCGCGAGACGGGATCCGGAGCTCGAGGGATCCGCGGAGAGCGCGTTGCCGGAACCTGCGCCTGGCGGTCTTCGCCCGCGTGTCCCTGCGCACCCCTCCGCAAGCGAGCCCGTCCGCCGCTTCGACCGGGTGCTGACTCTTCCCCAACGGCCTGCCCCGCGCCCCACCTCGCCGGAGTATTCGTGGGCCCCTGCGCGTGTTGCGTCGAACCGCCCGGACGGTCAGCCGCGGCAGGAGCGCGGGCGCTCGCCTCTGCGTCAGCCTCCGCGGCAGCCCTCTCCTCGGCGCCCATCTCCTGAGCATCGCGAGGCTCATCCGCGGGGTGGGGGCGATCGGCGATCCCCTGGGCGTCCTCGTTCTCCTCGCCACCCGTCTCCTCGTGGTCGGGCAGGCCAGCGCTCACCCCGAGCGCGATCCCCCGCGCAACGGTCTCCGCGGCGATCTCCGGCGACGAGGGGGAGGGGGTCGCCTGGACGTCGCTGGGATTCGGGGCGTCGCGAGCAGTCCCCCCCGCGTCCTCACTCGGCAGGTTCTGGCGGCCGGCGAGGCCGGCGGAATGGCGGAGGTCGTGGCGGTAATGGTCGCCAGCAGGATCCTGCCCTCGATCACGCCGCAGACACGTTTGTGGAGGTGGTGCGGCAGGCCCGGGCGAGTGGGGGGCCGACTCACGTCCATATAGAGGTGACCAACGGTCCCCCCTTCGCCGCGGACCCAGGCCAGGTTGCTCCTCTGCGCGCGCCGACGCTGAGCGAATATCGGCCCGCGCGAGAGGGGAGGGCTCAGTTCCGCACCCCCCGTCAGGTCCCCGGCTTCTCTGCGCCGCGCTTATCTGTTGGCCGAACTCCAGGCTGGCCGACGGCGTATCCGCGCGAAGCGCCGACTGCACCTCCCCCAACTCGCGCGGGGAGAGACCCCATGCTGACCATGTGCCGGATTCTGAATCTAGCGGAGGCGTGCGAGGTGGTGGCGAACTTGCAGCTGGCGGTGTGTGGGGCCACGCGGAGCCTTCCGAGCAGTTTCGGTCCAGGATCCCGAGGATCCTGCGTGACTTTGGCAGAATCGCTCGAGTCGCCGTTGGCACCCGTGTCGGATGCGCCCGCCGGGGTAGCTCCCTTAGCCCGTACTTTCCCCCGCCACGTGGGGGATCTTGTAGGGGCTGCTCAGGCCGGGACCCCCTTGGACACGCTCCAGTCGTCGGCGCATCTCCTTCTTGCAGTATCGGCGTGCATGCGCTCGATGCTTGAGGTGGAGGGGGCGGAGCCGTACACGATGTAGGCCTCCGCCGCGTGTAGAATTGCATGCCGCGCCTCTTGCTCTTGCCTGCCCCCTTGCCTTGTGTGTTTGTATGCCCTTTATATGCCGAACTCGCGTCTTGTGACTTGCCACCCCTAACGCGCGGCCGAAGGCCGCCGGCGCGAGCCGCCGAATGTGAAACACCAACGAAATAATGAGGTAGGGAAGGCACGGAGGGCCCCTTAAATAGGACCAGAGGGAGAGGGCAGAGGGAAGAGGGAGAGGGCTGGATGCTAAGGCCTTCTCTCTCTCGCTCTCTCTCCGCCGAATGTGAAACACCAACGAAATAATGAGGTAGGGAAGGCACGGAGGGCCCCTTAAATAGGACCAGAGGGAGAGGGCAGAGGGAAGAGGGAGAGGGCTGGATGCTAAGGCCTTCTCTCTCTCTCTCTCTCTCTCTCTCTCTCTCTCTCTCTCTCTCTCTCTCTCTCTCTCACACACACACACACACACACACACACGTACGCACGCACGCACACACACGCACGTCTCATGCGCTCTCCTCTTCATACGCATGTCTCACAATTTGCTCCCCACGCCTCCCGCCCAGCTTCTTCCTAGCAGCCATAATCTACCCGGTCATCGCGCATGTCATCTGGTCGCACCATGGGCTGCTCTCAGTGGCACCTGTGCTGCTTTGCTTGCTCCCCATTGTCAACCCCCCACCTCGCCTCCCTCCGCCCAGCTTCTTCCTAGCAGCCATCATCTACCCGGTCATCGCACACATCATCTGGTCGCACCACGGGCTGCTGTCAGCTGATGCGGGGGACTACGTGCTGGGCACCCGCGGTGTGCTCGACAATGCCGGCTCCATGGTCGTTCATGTCACTGGTGGGTGGGTGGTGGATGGTCACAGGTGGGCATGGCACAGGTGGGTCGTCGTGGGTGGGCATGGTGGGCGTGGCATGGGCTGCTGTCAGCTGATGCGGGGGACTACGTGTTGGGCACGCGCGGCGTGCTCGACAATGCTGGTTCCATGGTCGTTCATGTCACTAGTGGGTGGGTGGTGGATGGCATGGCACAGATGGGTGGTGGGTGGGGCATGGCACAGATGGGCATGGCACAGGTGGGCATGGCACAGATGGGCATGGCACAGGTGGGCATGGCACAGATGGGCATGGCACAGATGGGCATGGCACAGATGGGCATGGCACAGATGGGCATGGCACAGATGGGCATGGCACAGGTGGGCATGGCACAGATGGGCATGGCACAGATGGGCATGGCACAGATGGTCATGGCACAGATGGGCATGGCACAGATGGGCATGGCACAGATGGGCATGGCACAGATGGGCATGGCACAGATGGGCATGGCACAGGTGGGCATGGCACAGATGGGCATGGCACAGGTGATCTCAAGTGCTTTCTTTGTAATATGTGCTCTTTGCTCCTTCCTGTATAGTGAGCAGCTGGTAACCTGGTTTCGTTTGTCATACCATTGAACATGCCCTTGACAGGTGGCGTCACCTCATTAGTTGCTGCGTGGATGGTCGGCCCACGGATTGGAAGATTCGATATCGATGGTCGCGTTGTACCCTTTAGAGGGCACTCCCTGGTAAGATACTATCGCAATGTGTTGTACGGGAACCCTAAACCCTTCCTCCCTGACTCACTATCATGGCATGTTGCATCCTGTGTCTCAAGAATCCCATCGCTGGTCTGTAGTTTCAGCCTCATGGTCATTACTAGACCATCTCTAGTCTCTACACACATGGGCATTGGTTAGACTTCTCACTCACCAGTACAAAACCGCCCAACCTCTATTCATCCTCCTCGTCCTCCCTCTTCCTCCTCCCGCCACTCTCCCCCTTCTCTCACCCTCCCACCCCTCTCCCCCCCGCCCTTCTCCCCTCTCATGACAGGGGGCACCATCATCCTCTGGCTGTGCTGCTGCTGCATGTGGGGGGTCAGGGACAGCACTGCACTACCGTCCACCCTCCACTCAGTCTCCCTTTTCCCCTCTCCCCCCGCTTCCCCTTCCCTCCCTCCGTCCACAGGTGTTCATAGCAGCGGGCACCATCATCCTCTGGGTGGGGTTCTTCGGGTTCAACGGCGGCTCAGTGCAGTACCTGGGGCAGCCCGCCTCCGTGTGGGTGGCCGATGTCGCCCGCGTGTGCGCCAACACCACCGTGTGCGCCGCCTTTGCGGGCGTGGCGGTGTGGTTTGTGACGTACCGGCGGAGGGAGCCGAATCTGGAGGACACGCTGAACGGCGTGATTGGTGGGCTCGTGGCCGCGTGTGCTACGAGCAGTATTGTGGAGGCGTATGCTGCCTGTATCATTGGTGGGTGCATGCAGGGAGCTGGTGGGTCGGTGGTCAGGAGCTGGTGAGTCAGCGTCACACCTAGCACCTGGCAGCACCTCTCCAGAGATTGAATCGAGTGTACCTGCCAATTCGTTTCTCCCTGCATGCATCATCCATCCATCCATCTCCCTGCATGCATCATCCATCCATCTTCCTGCATGCATCATCCATCCATCTCCCTCCATCCGCCTTTCAGGGGCCATAGCAGGCGTGGTGTACCTGGGGGGGGTGTATCTGGTGAATAAGGCCCGCATTGACGACCCTGTTAATGTGAGTCCCACTGCCTCACAGCCTCAAAGCCTCACAGCCTCATAGCCACACAGCCTTACAGCCTCACAGCCTCATAGCCACACAGCCTTACAGCCTCACAGCCTCATAGCCACACAGCCTTACAGCCTCACAGCCTCATAGCCACACAGCCTTACAGCCTCACAGCCTCATTGCCACACAGCCTTACAGCCTCACAGCCTCATTGCCTCATTGCCTTACTGTTTCACTGCCTCTCTGCTTCCCTGCCTCCATGCCTCTTCTCCCACCGTCGCTTCATGTCCCCTTGTCCCACCCACCATGCATCCCTCCCCACCCCTCTCTCCGCACCTCCACCCCAGCGGACGCCAGTGCCGTCCCGCCTGTGCTTTGCAATTGCAATTCCATTTGCTTCTAGTGCCCCAGAACCAGAAGCATGTGCATTTGTGCCGTGCCGCCTGTGCGCAACCTGACTTGCTCTTGTCTCTGCACCGGACTTCCCCATCACCATCCGTCCCAACCCACCCCACTCGCCATGTCCCAACCACAGGCCACAGCGGTGCACCTGTGCTGCGGCACGTGGGGGAGCGTGGCCGTGGGCTTCTTCGCCTCGCCAGCAGCAGTGCAGCGCACCTACCAGTTCTCCGACCCTGTGCCCTGCGGCCTCTTCTACGGCTGCGGCGGCTCACAGCTGCTCGTGCAGGTGAAGTCTGGTGGGGTGTGATCTGCTCGTGCAGCTGCTCATGCAGGTGAGGCCTGGTGGAGGTGTGATCCGCACGTGCAGGTGAGGGGGCAGATGTGGTTCCAGGTGTGAAAGTAGTAAATTGAACAAGTAACTTCATTAGAGGAGAAACCTAGCATACATCGTTGGAAGAGAGGCTTGGAAGAGAAAGGTGAATGTGACCATAGGTTGGGTTGACCTCACTTGGGGGAGTGAAGCAACCATAGGTCAAGTGGGTTGGGTTGCCCACACTTTGTAGAAGTGAGGCAACCCTAGGCCCCCTTGGCTTGAGATGACCTCACTTGTGGGAAGTGAGGCACCCATTAGCCAAGTGGGTTGCATTTGGGGGCTCCACCACAATTGGGTGGATTGGCACCCCAAAGTGCAAGACTACACCCAAAGTTGGGTGTAGTCCCAACCCAACTGTACACCACAATTGGTGTACAGTCACATGTGTTGGCATGCTACACAATATATAATTCTAACACCAGGTGCCTCTATAGTAGCGTCTATTTACTCTCTCCTATGTAAACGCACATCCCATCCACTTTTTTTAACCGTTTTAAAGATCGTTAATTGACTCGGCTCTCTCTCGTATGTAGACGCACATTCCATCCGCCCTGTGCCTTGCGGCCTCTTTGGCGGTTGTGGAAGCACACAGTTGCTGTAAAGGGGCACACAGCTGCCGTAAAAGGCACTTGCAATCACAAGGGCGTGTCATGTCATGTCATGTCGTGTCATGTCACGTCATGTCATGTCATGTCACGTCACGTCATGTCATGTCATGTTACGTCATGTCATGTCATGTCATGTCACGTCATGTCACGTCACGTCACGTCACGTCACGTCACGTCATGTCATGTCATGTCACGTCATGTCATGTCACTCCACTTCCTGTCATGTCACTCCACTTCCCCTGTCATGTCCTCCCAGTGCGCTGTGCTGCTTCTTGTCAGCCCTCCCATCGCTCTTTCCATAGCTTCACTCACTCTATCTCTCTCCGTCTCCCTCTCTCATCCCCCACCCTCCCTCTCCTCGATCGCAGATCCTGGGCCTTCTATTGGTGTACGCGTGGGTGGGCCTCTCATCGTTTGTCCTGTTCTACGCGCTGCACTATTTCGACGTGTTGCGAGTCAAGAGGCATGAGGAGGAGGTTAGTTAAAGGCATGGATGGAAGTGTGTGAGTCAGAGGGTAGGCAACTTCTGAGGCGCCTCAAAAGTCGCGTGGGTGGGCCTCTCGTCCTTTGTCCTGTCCTACGCGCTGCACTATTTTGACGTGTTGCGAGTCAAGAGGCATGAGGAGGAGGTGAGACGGGGAGGCATGGATGGGAGTGTGTGTATGCGAGGGGAGGGAAGCGGGTAAAGGGATTAGGGGATGGTTATGCGGATGGGGGATTGGGGGAATTCAATTCAGCCGGCGTCTCATGGTTTGTTTCGTTCTCCCTTCACTTGCATGATTTTAGTTTTGTAGGTGCCTCTAAATTCGTTGCAAGGTTTGTGCTTCTTCAACCTTCACTTGAATGGGTCATCGAATTTTCTGAGGCGTATGCCGGATTACATGCTCATGGTCACTCAGATTTTGATTATCCGATCCTGAGTTTCGTGTCTTTGATCTTGATTTGCATCCTTGTTTACAAAGTTTCTGTGTCGATTCGTTTCTTGCACTTCACCCAAAATCGAACACGGTCCTTGGCTGGTTCGCACCCGATTCAACTGTTTACCTTGATTTTAGGGTTTACAGTATTCCCTCTCTCGACTGGGTACATTTCTCTCCTTCTCTACTCACAGGGGGGGTTGGGCACGGCATATCACGGGGTTAACGACGATCACAAGGTTTGAGTCGACTCAAAAGTCAGCTCAGCTCGACTATAGGCATATCTCTTTCTCCCTCCCTCTCTGCTGACAGGTGGGGCTGGACGTGGCATTCCACGGGGGCAACGACGATGACGAGGCGTTTGACGTGGTGGAGGATGGCGACAGCATGGCACGCAGGCTGCTGACGTGGCGCAAGCTGCAGGTGTGTGGTGTGGGGGAGAAAACATCGTGTGCTGACCTGGCACATATGTCCTTGCTGGGTTGACTGCTGAAGGGTTTCGCATCATCTTTGCGCTGATTGGCATATAAAGTTCTGTTATAACCCATGATTGGCATATAAAGTTCTGTTATAACCCATGATTGGCATATAGAGTTCTGTTATAACCCATGATTGGCATATAAAGTTCTGTTATAACCCATGATTGGCATATAAAGTTCTGTTATAACCCATGATTGGCATATAAAGTTCTGTTATAACCCATGATTGGCATATAAAGTTCTTTTATAACCCATGATTGGCATATAAAGTTCTGTTATAACCCATGATTGGCATATAAAGTTCTGTTATATCCCATGATTGGCATATAAAGTTCTGTTATAACCCATGATTGGACATTGTCGCAATCAGCGCTGGTGTGACAATGTCCATCCATCATCCATCCAGGCTTCAGAATGCCTGCTTCACCTTCTTCCCCTGCTCCATCACTGCTCTCTTGGAAACCCTTATCTTCAAACCACCTTCTTGCTTGTTTCTTCTCATCTTAGCATCTGCACACGTGTCATGTCATGCAACCCCTTTTTCTCCATTCTCGGACCTCTTTTTCTTTTAGACCTTGACAAAATCCGTTGTTACAAGCTGCAACATAATACCTCCCTCCCCATCCCTCTCATCTGACCTTTTGCGTCTCTCCTTTTACCCTCCAAACTCTCGCCCCAGTCAACAGAGCAATCGCCCCTGTGCAAACTCTCTCCTCCAATGCTCTCATTCACCACCTGAGCATGCTCGCCCATCCCAACACCTGTCTCGCCCGTTCATCTCTTTTTTCTACTCTCCCCTTTCCCCCTTCCCCCCTCCTCCCCTTCCCACTGCGCAACCAGCATGTCTCAACGCTCTTCTCCCGAGCAGCCGCCAAGAACACCAGCCGCCACAACGGATATGATTTTTTAGGCACCTGAAATCCCCCCGCTCCTCCCCTTCCCCACCCACAACACAACCAGCATGTCTCAACGCTCTTCTCCCGAGCAGCCGCCAAGAACACCAGCCGCCACAACGGATATGATTTTTTAGGCACCTGAAATCCCCCCGCTCCTCCCCTTCCCCACCCACAACACAACCAGCATGTCTCAACGCTCTTCTCCCGAGCAGCCGCCAAGAACACCAGCCGCCACAACGGGTACGGCCCAACCGGGGCGGCAGGCAGGGACGGCAAGGGCGGCAAGGGGGGCGGCAAGGGCGGCAGCCTGAGCCAGCTGGCGCAGAGCCTGCACCCCAAGGGGTGGAACGTGGGGGAGAGGAAGGCGCGGCGGCCTGTGTGGCACAAGGCACTGGAGGGCACGCACCTGGGGCGATTCTCCCTGGCCATGTATGAGGCCAACTATATCATGGAGGACACTGTGGAGGTGAGTGCTGCAGTGCAGCGTGCTGGTTTGTTTTTGGAATCTGGAACCTGGTCAACTGGAATCTGGAAAGTCTTCCCGTGTGGCACAAGGCGTTTGAGGGCACGCACCTGGGGCAATTCTCCCTGGCCATGTATGAGGCCAACTATATCATGGAGGATACTGTGGAGGTGAGTGGGGTGCATTGGTTTCTTGGTTGCATTGCAAGTGGACTAGAAACTGGAAACTGGTAACTGGTAACTCGGCCCGTGTTTCTCCCTGGCCATGTATGAGGCCAGCTACATCGTGGAAGATACTGTGGAGGTTAGTACAGTGCATTGGTTTCTTGATTGTTCGTCAACTGGTAACTCGGCGCATGTGGTGGAACAAGGCCCTTGAGTTGAGAACACACGCTGCTATCTCCGTTTCTCCTACGTTTCGCTCAAGTCTTTTTGTTGAGCATTGATGGTCCACCTGTTCTTATCCCGTCTCCTCGTGATGTGTGCGCAGGTGCAATCGTCGAGTCGCGGGGTGTTCATCGGGATTCACGATGGGCACAACGGGAGTGAGGCGGCGGAGTTTCTACGTGAAACACTATACAACAACATCATGAGTGAGTGTAACACTATACAACAACATCATGAGTGAGTGTAACACTATACAACAACATCATGAGTGAGTGTAAGACTATACAACAACATCATGAGTGAGTGTAACACTATACAACAACATCATGAGTGAGTGTAACACTATACAACAACATCATGAGTGAGTGTAACACTATACAACAACATCATGAGTGAGTGTAACACTATACAACAACATCATGAGTGAGTGTAACACTATACAACAACATCATGAGTGAGTGTAACACTATACAACAACATCATGAGTGAGTGTAACACTATACAACAACATCATGAGTGAGTGTAACACTATACAACATCATGAGTGAGTGTAACACTATACAACAACATCATGAGTGAGTGTAACACTATACAACAACATCATGAGTGAGTGTAACACTATACAACAACATCATGAGTGAGTGTAACACTATACAACAACATCATGAGTGAGTGTAACACTATACAACAACATCATGAGTGAGTGTAACACTATACAACAACATCATGAGTGAGTGTAACACTATACAACAACATCATGAGTGAGTGTAACACTATACAACAACATCATGAGTGAGTGTAACACTATACAACAACATCATGAGTGAGTGTAACACTATACAACAACATCATGAGTGAGTGTAACACTATACAACAACATCATGAGTGAGTGTAACACTATACAACAACATCATGAGTGAGTGTAACACTATACAACAACATCATGAGTGAGTGTAACACTATACAACAACATCATGAGTGAGTGTAACACTATACAACAACATCATGAGTGAGTGTAACACTATACAACAACATCATGAGTGAGTGTAACACTATACAACAACATCATGAGTGAGTTTGTATTTTAGGCACCTCAAAAAAGCATTGTACAGCCACATTATGAGTGGGCAACGCACTCTGCAACAGTAGATAGAGCTGACTTGTCAAAAACTTCAGATCGTTCCACCAGAGATCCGGCCCAGCCCGTTCTCACGGCCAAGTGAGGCCCAAACACAGCAATATTTTTCACAAGTCAAGCAATGTGCAGGTGGGTCGTCTGGTGGGCTGTCCCCACTGTGTGAAGCCACCTGCTCTCCCTCCCTATCAACTTGTCTTCCTTTCGCCGTTGGTGCAATCTCGCTTCACTTGCGTGTCTCTTGTCCCCAGGCGAGTGCACGGAGGGCAACGGGGTGTCAGTGGAGGCGTTGCGGAAGGGCTTTGACGCAACAGAGAGGCAGCTGGCGGCCATTGTGAGGGAGGCGTTTGAGGAGAGCCCGCACCTGGCCATGGTGGGGGCATGCTCTGTGGCCGCCCTCATCACCCCCACTGCCATCTGGGTCGCCAATGTCGGCGACTGTCGCGCCGTGCTGGGTCAGGTGGGTTTGTTTCTGATGACACGTCTCAAGAGTTGTGCCCTGGGGCTGCTCTCATGATCTCATCACCCCCTCCGCCATCTGGGTCACCAATGTGGGCGAGTGCCGCGCCGTGCTGGGCCAGGTGTGTTGTGGGTCTTGTTGTATGCGGGCAGGCTGCTGCTTGCTTGTTCTTCTGATGCGCATCAAAGCTGCTTTGTCGAGCTGGGCCAGGTGCATTTGAGATGTCTCACGAGTCGTGCTCCGTGGCTGGCTTCTCTGATCTCATGACGAGTCCGTTGCGCCGTCAGGGTTGCCAATGTCGGTGACTGCTGCCAGGTTGGGAGCTTTCTTTGTACGGGTTCCTATCCATCCCAAGGATGAAATCCACCCTTGCACGGACTCGGATGGGCTCCAGGCCCTCCCTTTCCCGATGCAAAGGCCGGGATGACCAGGGTTGCCAATGTCGGTGACTGCTGACCGTTGTGCCACCAATGTGTACCTAGCATCTCTTCTTTGTCATACCTAAGCTCACAAACCCATATCGCAAGAGCAGGATGAGATGAGCCCTGATGCAAGACACGCAACAACTGATTCCACTGGGTGTTGATCCAACCACAGTGGTTGCTCAGCAAGGTGACGCACGCAGGCGGCCGTTTTGGAGGCCAGGGGCTTACCAACAACCGTCTCACTAATAACGGCATAGGCGGGACGGGAGGGTGGGAGCAGGGCGAGAAACCCAAGTCGTATGTCGTAGGCGATGCTGGGATGTGGCGGTGATCTGATGATGGCGGAATTTATCGAGGCTCTGAGGGACTAATACATCTTCAGAGCCAACTCTCTTCACAAAGATAAGGATGAATGAAACCCACCCCCCCACCCGCACCACCCTCCAAACAGGTCCGTCAAGTGTCAGACGGTGTCGAGTGTCAGGCAGTGCAGCTGTCTACGGGCCACAACCTGTCGGTGCCTCTTTCCCTTCCCCTCCTCTCCTCTCCCTTTCCCCTCCCCCTTTCCCTACCCCATCCAAGCAGGTGCGGCAAGTGTCAGACGGGGTGGAGTGCCGAGCGGTGCAGCTATCAACGGACCACAACCTGTCAGTGCCGGCCATCAGAGAGAAGTACATCGCGGAGCATGCCGACATGCCCGATGCCGTTGTTGAGCGCCGCGGCCGCTTCCGTGTGAAGGGCAAAGTGATGGTGAGGGCAAAGTGATGGTGAGGGCACAGTGATGGTGAGGGCAAAGTGATGGTGAGGGCAAAGTGATGGTGAGGGCAAGGTGATGGTGAGGGCAAGGTGATGGTGAGGGCAAAGTGATGGTGAGGGCAAAGTGATGGTGAGGGCAAAGTGATGGTGAGGGCGAGAAGTTTGTTAGATGTGAGCATTCCGATTGTCGATGCCCCTCCCCATCCATCCACCTTCCATTCCATGGGTCCTGCTCAATTTCCCTTTCATGCACCGCTCCCATACTCCCTCCCACCGCAGGCCTCTATCTCAACTCCACAAACTTTCTGTCGAGAACCCTTATTTCCTGCGTCTCCGTCACTAATCCCCAACTTCCATTCCCTACTACCTCCCCCATCCTTAGGTCACCAAGGCCTTTGGCGACCTGTATCTCAAGTCCACCGACTTCAATCGGGAGCCCCTCGTGTCGCGCTTCCGAGTGCCGGAGCCCTTCAACCCGCCACTCATCTCCGCCGACCCCTCCGTGGCCGTGCGCGTCTTCTCGCCGCACGACTCGTTTGTCATCGTGGCCTCCGACGGGCTCTTTGAGTTCCTCTCCAACCAGGAGGCCGTCAACATCGTCGCCAGCAGCCCTAGGAAGGTGAGTGGGCAGGCGGGTCGTAGTGCGGTGCAGATGGGCTGGCTGGCTGTCATCGTGGCCTCGGACGGGCTGTTTGAGTTCCTCTCCAACCAGGAGGCCGTCAACATCGTGGCCAGCAGCCCTAGGAAGGTTTGTTCTCTTCTTTTCCAGGCGCCTTGGTACATGTGCATGCTGCTGCTGCCTTGTTCCTTGTCCCCTCCTCTTTCTAGTCATGAGCAAGGTGCTGCACTTGTGGCTGCTCGTATCTGTGTCCTCAAAAGGATAAACTCCGACGTTTTCATTGAAGGATGTCATTAACCGATGCCATCGCACCTCAATGCTGCTTCACGACTTGCCGCCATTCGTTTGTCCCGCTACTGCCTCGCAGCGTAGCCCGTCGTCGCCGTTGTCATTCCTCCGTGATCAACCTATCGTTTTTCTGAGTCAACCCAGAACAGAATCACCCTCATCATTCCTCTGGGCCCATCCCATCCTGCTGCTACAGGACGTGGCTCGCCAGCTAATCCGGACGGCGCTGCAGCGGGCGGCAGAGAAGACGGAGATGCTGTACAACGACTTACTGCGCATGCCGTCCGGGCAGCGGCGGGACTACCACGATGACATCAGCGTTGTCGTCTTTTTCCTGGACCATGATGCCATGCGGCGATCCTCTCATAGCTTCTGGAAGAAGGTGAGCTGTCCAGTTTAATATATATATTTATAAAGGGTGTGCCTCTGCCTTCACCTCCTTCCCCCTTCCCTTCCCTCGCCCCATTGTACCCTTGCCCCCTCCAATGACGTGTCTGTCAAGGGTGACTCCGCCATCACCGCCCTCCCCCTCCCCCTACCCTTCCCCTTCCACTCTCCCATTTCTACCCTTCCCCTTCCCTTCCCCCCTGTATCCTCCCCCTCCCACCCCCAGGATGTGTCCATAAAGGGTGGCTCCACCCTTATCTCCTTCCCTCCCCCCCTCCCTGCTCCCCCCTGCGTCCCCCTTCTTTCCCCCCCCCTCCAGGACGTGTCTATAAAGGGCGGATCAGCAGCCTCCTCTCTCCTGGCCGCCCCCACCATCTCCGGTGCTGACGTGCACAACATCTCCAGCATACGTGGCGCCACGTCAGCGCGCGACGCGCTGGCAGATGCGCGGGCGCAGCAGGGGGAGGCTCCACCTCAGGGCAGCGCCACGTGGCAGGCAGGGTTGGTTTCTGAGGCGCTTCAAAGGCAAGGCAGCGCCAGCTGGCGGCCAGGCTCAGTTTCTGAGGCGCTTCAGAATCAAGGCAGCGCCAGGTGGCAGGCAGGCACAGTTCCCGAGGCGCTTCAAAGGCAGGGCAGTGCCAGTTGGCAGGCAGGCTCAAGGGAAGCCGAAAGGGAGGTTCTAGGAGTCGGCAACGGGGGGTGGGGGGAAGGTGCGGGGAGGAGCGGGCTAGTGGGTGTGGGTGGGACAGGGAGCAGCAAAGGTGGGGCTTGGAGGGAAGAGGAAAGGAGCATGTCGGGGAGCCGCCGGCATGCTGGTGATGCGCTGGTGGGGTTGACTGTGCCTGAGGATGCTGTAGTGGACGTCAGCCAATTAGGGCCCGCCAGCTCATTCGCTGATGCGAGCGTGAGAGCGCTGCTTGACTAACTGGCGCGCCGGTTTGCCGGCCAGGGTGTGCGTGAGCCGGCCAAGAGCCCAAGGGTGCTGCTTGACTAACTGATACCGTAGTGACGAGCGGCTTCTTGTGTTGGTTGGGTTGGGACCTGGGTGTGGCCGTTGCATTGCCGCTACGGAATTCAGAACCAGGCCTTTGCTGTGATACAGTGGTGAATGGTGGTGGGTTGCGTTGTGTGTGTGTGTTGTGTTGAATAAAAAGAGATTACAAGTACTGTATGTACCCATGTGATGCAATCCCATGTGGGCTTCAACACTTGGTTGGGCCCCAACCCGACTCTTGGCCTACGTATCTATAGTGCAACTAACAATCATCGCTGTGTTTGCCTGCCTATTCCCAAGCGACCTCAGCTTTGCATGCTGTGACAAGCAGTCGACTACAAGCTTGGTCACCTCCACAAGCTGCGCGTGCGGGAGTCATCGTCGTGCACCTGAAACCTGTGACCGCACGACTTCCGCACAGTGCCCGCATCCAAAAGTCATAACCGTATGGAGAAGTTATGACCGCATGCAGAAGTTATGACCGCATGGAAAAGTCATGACCGCGTGCAGAAGTCATTACCGCATGCAGAAGTCATTACCGCTGTTTGAATATAACTTTATGCGGTGTAAACTGTAGTGTATGTAATCAGTTGCTGTGCTGTATGTAGTGTGCCTCCTTTTTCCTTACCTATATCCCTGTACTGTTTCTCATTATTCAACATTATTTTGTCAAGAACTGAATGATGTTTTAACTAAGGTTGGTTGGGGTACATAAACCTAACCCGAACTGCTCTCAAGTCGCGGCTCTCGACAGAGGAGAATCGATGCCTTGTTGTCAGTAAACAAGGTCGTTGCAGAGCTCAGCCGCTCACAATGGTCAATGAGCAAGAAGGTCAACCAGCGCAGCTCCTATGCAGCCATGGCTCCAGCGTAGATCTCGCCTCAGCGGTAGAGGCCGAGATTGAGGAGGAACGCGTGGACCTCCACGAAACAGCTCCAGAGCCCAGGCTGAAACAGTACCCCTGAGTAGACCTGTGAGTCTCGGTGTCGTCAGCGTAAGAAAGTCACAGTGACCAGTAAGTACGACAGACTGCCTCCCTCCAAGAACCAGCCCCACGCCTGATATTGTCGCTAGGTACTTCGACACCCTCACAGCAGCTGTCCAGTGAACAGGACGGTGTCTCCCTGTCGCAACAAAGCGAGCAAGGATGCTGAGAGGGAAAGCGAGGTCTGGGCGAGTACAAGTCATTAGGTACATGAGGCAGCCCACAAGCTCTGCGTAAGGACCACTAGGCTCAAATGGCTCGTCAGGAAATGTACCATTGTGTCTGTGGTCAATGGCAAGAGGTGTGCGCTGTACTGTGGAGTGCTGAAGCTCGAACCGCTGAAAGACCTGCTGCACCATGTGTGACTGTGAGAGTGTAATGGTGTGAGCAGCTCTGTCCCTGGTGATCTGCAGGCCAAAGTAGTGGCGCAGCTCACTAAGATGAATGCACGTGTGTCTCTTCTGCAATTCGGACTTCACGTAAGCCAAAGCAACCCTGTCAGCGGTGGCGAAAACCAGGTCGTCGACGTAGACCAGTACAAAGAACGGTGTGGAGCCACGACGAACGAACAGCGACGGGTCGGCAAAAGGTTGCTGGAAACCGAGGTCAGACAGGGTAGAACGAAGGGTGTCGTGCCACTCACGAGGCGCCTGATGAAGACCGTAGACCGGCCGCCTCAGAATCCACTGGGTCCCAGGAGGGAAAGTGCAAGTGAAGGCAGAGGGACGACGCAACCAGACCTCCTCGTGTAGGCTACCCTGAAGGAAGGCAGTGGAGAAGTCGAGAGAGTGTAGCTCGTAGTCTCTCTATGCTGCTATGTGCAGTAACACCCGAAGAGTGGTCATCTTCGGGGTAGGCGCGAAGGTCTGAAAGAAGTCAACTCCCTTGCGCTGACTGAAGCCTCTAACCACACAGCGCGCCTTGAATGATGTTTTAACTAAGGCTGGTTGGGGGTACATAAACCTAACCCTAACTGCTGTACCCCATATGACACACATCACTAAAGGCCTCAACATATGACATATTCGCCAAACTCCTCGTCATCTCACTTCCCCTCGTCCCTAACCTAGGTTTCTCCTTAACCTAGGCTAAGTCAACATCACGACAACTGCATTTAAAAGTCATTACCGCATGGCCTCAAAGTACGATATACCGAATCACAGCCCAGCTAGCAAGGCCCAAGCCTTGATATTGGAGACTAAAATACAACACTACTTTCCCTTATACCGTATTAATGTTTTCATCGATTGAAATACGAGTTTTGATACAAGTGAGTTTCAAACATTTTTATATCATGCATTTTTATCATTTTTTACCATAGTTTTTAACAATATTTTTTATATATAAGCAAGGAGCTGGCTTTTCTACACATGACCCAGAGAGCAGACTGTCACCCACCACCGCCAATAGATGCAATGTTTCCTGCAACTACTGCATTGCACCTTTAGATAGAGGGGTGAATGCGTTGATCCAGCTATGGCAGAGCAACGAATCAGCTTCATGGCTCGGTGTACGGTATCTGTGCTTCACCTGCACCTGCGGAGATAACTACTACAACGGGAGCTAGACTACGGGCTAGGCACGGGTGCTCGTGTGATCTCTGCGTTCATTCTTTTAGTCGTTTTCTTGTGTGCACACTACTTGCAAGTTTACGGGGAGAATTGGCAAGAGTTCCACTAGGAAAAGTTGACAACAATAGAACAAAAAAGTTGGCAGAACAGACTACATCAGAGCTAGCATGCAAGCAGGTCGACTGCCAGCGCAGCGTTCCAGCACGACTTGGTCGACCGCGTTCCAGCAGCGCAGAGTCGCGGCCCGCCAACGCTGTAAGTCGACGACATGACAACGTTGCGGGTCGACGGCGTGCCAGCGTTGCTCCTGCAGTACAGTAGCGCACCTACTTCGCAGGTGCTCGCAGATGATTGGCATGCCGTGCCTTGTCACCTACACAGCGCACACACCAAATCAACCTTGTGCTGACGACTGCATCTGATCAGCCACGTCGACCTCGGGATACCACCACTGAGGTCGGTCTCGCCACTACCACCTAGGCAATCGTCGCACTCCTCCGCAGAACCTCGTCACCCAGGTAACCTGGTCAACCGGGCAAACACGTCGACCAGCTGCTTCTTAACGTGCCCGTTGACCACCCAAGTCGACGACCACCTCCAGTCGACCACACCAGGTCGACCTCTCCCTTGGTCGACCAGCTCCCGGTCGACGACACTCCTGGTCGACCAACTCCAGGCTGACCAGCACAGCAGTTAACCGACCACACCAAGTCGGCTACCCCAAGTCGGCGTCCCCAAGTCGACGCCTCCAATGTCGACCTTGTCAGGTCAACCACCCGAAGTCGGCGCCCTCCCAAAGTCGGCGCCCTTGCAGTGGCCCCCGTGCAGGCCGACTAGCCCCGTCGACTAGCTCGCCCCACTGCTGCAGGTCGGCTGCACCCCTCACACCCGACCACGAAGTCGGCTCCGCCCAAACGAGGACGGGGCCTAACACGACTCCCGTTGACAGCACCTGCACCATTGCAGTTAATAAGTGACCATCATCATTCCGGAGTACTAACCGCTTAGACGGTTGCCACAATAGGGCAAGTAATTTTGAGGCTCAAGTGCAGCCCCTGAATTTTCGGCGTTTTTACCATGATCTCGCATCAAAACATACTATTCATACCGATACCTTGCCTGATTCATTAGCGATGGTTGATTTTTTCAGCCATTTTGTTTGTAGCGTGTCTGTTTGTTCCCCCCTCTTTCTTTAGCCCCTCGCCCCAACTCACCTCAGTCTCTCGCCCCTCTCCCCAGCCCAGCTCAGTCACTCGCCCCTCCCCCCAGCCCACCTCGTTATCTCGCCCCTCCCCCCATACCACCTCATACTCTCAGCTCCCCTTGAGCCCACCCAGTTTATCCCCTCCCCTCAGCTGTCAAATGTTATATCTGCTACAGTTTGTTTAGGTTGTAGTGGGGTAGATACTATGGGGTACAGTAAGTTTAGGTTTTCCTACTTGTACCCAACCCTTTTCCTAGTGCAATCACTTCTCTCATTCTACCATGGTATTACGAGCCTAGGTTAGGAACCTAGGACCGCTAGTTCCTAAGGGCACACCGTTCCACTAGAAGCGCCCTCGTGCGCCGTCCCTTACTCGCGCCCTCGTGCGCCTTGTTCCTAGTGCGCCCTCGCGTGCCCCTTCCTCTCACGCTGCCCGTGCGCAGCCGCTAGCCGCCCGCGCGCGCGGCCCGTTTTTCGAGCGCGTAGCCCGCTAGCCGCCCGCGCCGTCGACGCTGCCCACGCGCAGCCTACCCTGGCCTCGCGCGGCCCCTAGCACAGCCCGCGAGCTGCTCGTCGACCGCCGCGCGCCGCCGCCTCGTGCCCGTAGGCCGCCGCCCGCGCTAGACCGCCCTCACGACGGCTGCCGCCCGCACGTAGGCCGCCGCCTCGCACAACCGCAGACCACGCGCCGGCCCACCCTCCCTGACCGAGCCGCGCCGCGCCGTCCTGCCCGAGCCGCGCCGCCCTGACCGGGCCGCGCCGCCCTACTGTGCCCCACCTGCAGCACCTGCTGCTCCTGTTACTGCTACTGCTACTACTGCTACTGCTGCTACTGTTCCTACTGCTGCTACTGCCACTATGGCCAGTCCTACCGTTCTCACTTTTGACGCTGAGGGCCGTCCGATTAAGTTTGACGTTGGGCTCGATGACCTGCACCTGTTCCTCCAGATCACTGCCAAGGACGATGTTTCCATGTTTGACCACACGTCCGGCGTCACTCCCGCTCCTACTGCTACTGCTGACAGCACTGCTCGCTCACAGTGGCAGACCCATGACGCTCATGCTCGCCTAGCCGTTCGCAGCCACCTGCCGTTAGATGAGCGCGAGCACTTTGGCCAGCATAAGACCGCTAAGGAGCTGTACGATGCTGTAGTTGCACGCTACTCCTCC